AGGCGATCGATGTCGATCATCAGAAACATGCTTCCTTTTTTCTGCTTTCTTTCGCGGAGGCGAGGTTGGACGGGAGGGAGTTGGAGACACAGAATAAGCCAAAGATGCCCGCCCAGTGGAAACAGGGCTCAAAGGGGTTGAACCCAAGCTTGCAGTAACCTGGACAAGCTGGCTAGGCATCGGGGAGGAAGCACCAAGGGGTAAAACTGGGTCTACTTGCCTGGGAGGGAGCGAAGGGGCTGTCTCCGACATGGAATCCTTATCCCTAGATGAATCCTCCAAAATCGGCAAGGGAAGAGATGAGGAAATGGGAGCAAGCTGCTGGGCAGAATCTTTACTCTTGACTGACTGCTTGGTCTTCGTTTGTTTTGCAGCCTTCGGAGCCGAAGCAGCCTTAGAAGAAGATGTCTTCTTAAATGCAGTTTTCTTAGATGGTTTGTCAGCAGAAGGATTAACTGCAGATAACTGGTGAGGACTACCTTCAGCACAAGGGGTAGACGCGGGAGATGGGAGCTCCATAGCAGACGGTTTAGAAGCCGAGAGAGCAGAATCCCACAAGTGCAACTTCAGCCTCTGCTGCCGTGCCTTCAAAGCAGCTTTAGTAAAAGCCTTGCAGTGCTTGCAATTTTGAGATGAATGCGATTCACCACGGCAAAAAAGACAGGTGTCATGTCCATCGTGGTAAGGAATTTTTCCAGAGCAAACCATGCACTGGCTAAAGGGGCCAGAGCGTGGGGGGGCATAGGCAGAGACCGATAGAACCAAGACTCAGCCAGTAAAAATGGCGGGAAAAGGGTAAACCCCAGCCAGAGCAACAGGGAAAAACCGGAACACCAAAACTGAGTCCGTAAGGCAGAGAGAGTAGTCGATTAGCACACCAAGTTCAAAAAAATCCGGTAAAACAAACAGTAAATAGAATTTAGCAGAGCTAAAGCTGAAGGAACCACTTTGCGCAGAAATGGAACTGAGGCTTGGGCGGGGGGAGCATGCGCAGTATAGGCAGTCTTAAACTATGTTTCTTTTTCTACAGAGCTCGAGAACATTCCGAAAGGACCGACGCTGGCGCTGACTTAACCCTTTTGTGTGCATTCACAGAAGACCACGATGAAGAAGGTAAGTTTTCAATTCTCGTCTTGATATCTTCAATAATATTGGAAGATCGTAACCAAGCGTGTCTTCTAAGTGTGATAGCTGATGTAAGAGTCTTCGCAGCTGCATCAGCAACATGCCTGGATGCTAGCCTAAGGTGTTTGCAAACAGTCAGCACTTCTGTATGGGTGTTTAAAAAATCCCTGTCTGACGTCTTCAGGTGCTAATTGTAGAGCGGGTAAAATCCGGGATCACAATTGCCTTTGATATGCCCCCATGGCCACTAGATAATTTGCTACTTATAATACAAATGTAGTTAAGGACTATATCTTTCTTCCCAGCACCTCCAACTTCCTACCTTCCCTGTTAGTTGGCGTGACATGGGCTTTCCCAGGTGACTTGAATGAGCTAGATTCCACAACCAATGAATTAGGAATAGGCTGCTTAGCCAGGAAATTGGTGTCTGTATCATGAATACAATATAAGTTTTCAGTTCTACGTGAGATTGGAGCTGAATTAGCTGGTTGGGACCATGCTTCCTTAATGAGGTCCATGAGGGCAGGTATGTAAGCCAAACTCAATGGTGGAGATCTCTCCTGGTTGATATCTCCAAAAATCAAGTCTCAGTTGAAGGAGGAGGTTGTTCAGTATCCATTTTTAGAGTTTTAGCCATTCGAGATATCATTTCTATATAAGAAGTGAAGTCCTCTGATGGAGATGAAGGATGAGGATCAGCTGCATCCGACTCAAGGATGTCTCCCTTTACTGGTATCTCACCAGAGGCTTCAGAAAGGATCTCTTCATCTTGGTCTGAGATACTTGTAAATAACAGTTGTTCCTGGTCAGAAGCAGAAGGAACATGTGGTCTTTTTAAGTTTTTTCTGTTTGTGCCGGGTTCAGAAGTCTGGGTGTTGCAAATACAAGCTGAGCCTTTGGACGTCAAGTGTGTCTTTTGAGATTGCTCAGCAGTAGCCATAATCTTATCGGTGTGTTTAGAAGGTTGGTGTGCCTCGACGTCGAGATGTTTTCGGTGTCACTGTCTGGGAGGAGATGGCAATGTAGAAGGAGAGGATGATGAAGTGTACTGATAGTGAACTTTCTTCTTTCTCCTTTTCCGATAGTCCTCCGAGGTCGAGGAAGAATCGGACTCGGAATCGTCTCGTCGGCGTCAATGACAAGATTTTCTCCAATCGACGTCATAGTCGTAGTCCTCGTATCTGTGTTTGTGTCGACATCGAGAGGACTTGGGCATCACAACCACGTCCCATCGAGAAGATCGACGTCGAGAAGACAGGTGTTTCATCTTAGCTGACTTCTTTCAAGGTGGAGAGTCAGGTCTCGACAATGTCAACACCGACGAAAGAGTCAGAGAAGCCCGCCCAGTGGAAACAGGGCTGTTATGGGCAATTGGCGAGCTAGTTGGGGTAGTCATTAGCTGGCTAGCTGTAGGAGACTGGCTGGCACCGACAGGGAAGTTTTCTTGCTGTCGAGGTGACAGAGATTCCCGATCCCAGGGAGAATCTTCCAACATTGGTGAGGGGACCGATGCTGAGATGGGAAGTACAGCGAGGTGAGAATCCTTAGTTTTATCCTTACTTTTTGACGATGGCTTTTTCAGGTCGCCTGCAGAAGTGGAAGATTTTGTTGCAGAGGTACGTGGTTTCTTTGTAGTAGGTTTTTTAACTGGCTTGTCAGTGGACTTGGGAGCCGAAGTAGGGAGTGGTGAAGAAACCGCAACTTCAGATCTAACCGAAGAGGCAACTGAAGCTGCTTCCATTTCTGATGGTTGAGAGGCAGAAAGGGTCTTGTCCCACAGAAAATATTTTAAGTGTTGTTGTCTAGCCTTTAGTGCTGCTTTGGTAAACTTCCTGCAATGTTTACAGAGATGGGGCTGATGAGACACACAAATCGTGACCGTCTGAAAAAGGCAGTTTCCTGGAACAGGAGCAGCAGTGGCTGACAGGTCCAGAAGGGGACATAAAGCGGTAGGTATAATAGTTAGGAAGTCTTTAATAGTGGAAGTCTGGTAATTATTGGAGGTCACAGAGAGGGTAGCGGCTTGCTGAGCAGTGGTGAGGGGAAAAGGCAGGAAAAAATGTTCCAAAGAGATCTTACTGTAATCGTGAGGTGAAGAATAGTCAAGCACTCCAAGTTCAGGAGCAACAGAGAAATATTGTAATCCTAGTGAAGACCGTGCCAAAAATCAAGGGGAAAAACAGTAAAACATTCAGAAAAACACGAGCTCTAAGACGAGAGGTTCCAACACCCACGGCAGTAAAAATGGAACTGGGGGCCGAGGCGGGCGGAGCATGCACTATAGGCGCAAACTAAACTCTGCTACTTTTTTCCAAAGCTCTAGAAATTTCCGAGAGGACCAGCGCATGCACTGTTTAACCCATGTGTGTGCATTCAGAGAGGCCACGATGAAGAAGGTGAAGATACAATGCAGCAGAGAGCCAATTTGTTAATCCCCTTTATGGAGATGTCAACAGCGGAAGTGCAGCAAATGGTGAAGTTTACTATGAACTTCTATATGAAAGGGAGAATAATCGAGATGATGGGACATGCTGCGGCAGATGAAGCAAAGGAGACAATATATGGAGTGGATGAAGCTCTTAAGAATGGAAAAAGAAAGACAACATGATAAGATGGGCACAAAATATTGGTTAGAATGCGGAGATAGAGCAGTGGAGAAAAATGTTAAGTTTAAGAAGATATTTTGGGATAAAGAATATATGATAAAATGAATACAACAGTGATTTAGAGCAACAGAGCAATTCATAACAATAGATCTAAGATGGCAGAATACTATTAAACTTATAAAACTAGTAAACTTAAAAAGGTAAAAAGAAAGTCCAAGAAAATGAAAGATTAGTAATGATAAATATTATGGAAAATTGTTATATTATTTTTTTTGCTTTGTATGATTTCCATCTTTAATACAATTGTATAAGCAGATGTAAGAATAATTTTACCCTTTCTTACCCTTCCTCCCCTCTTACTTGGCCCCCTATTTGTACTATAACCCCTATCCCTATGAAAATGAATAAAATATATTTTTTAAAAACTGTTTAAAATTTTAAAGTTAAATCTATTTTAGTTAACACATATCCATTGTATTAATTCTTACAGTACACAACTGCATTAAAAAAAATTAAAATATGCAAATCAATTTCATTGATTATGCACCTCAACTCCCCTTAACCTTGGAAGTGTGGCCCTCAGATTGCACCGATTTTGTCTGCAGCTGGCAGATAATAATGTGCTGGAGTAGTAATAACAAATAGATGATCTAAAATATCTAGGCACCGTAAAAATATCCATCTGCTTTTCTCTTAAACAACCATAGAGAAAGAAATGCTAACAGCTGTAGCAAAATACTATAGAATGTAAGAGGTATTATAGATCTATTTAAGACATATCTATGCAATCCACACCACAAAGATATAAAAAATTAAGAACTGAATCAGACTACCTTATCCACAACAGCAGTCCTCAGTGACAACTTTCTTAGAGCAAAATCCTACTTGTGCTAAGGGAAAGCTTACATACTGCAGCAATTAATGCAAGCCTACTTACTGACCATGTATATGTGCATGATATATATGCAACCACACATGCAACCAGTCACATGATCAGCATGTAACTGCTATCTTATCAATAAGCTGCAGCAACTTTTGTATTTTCCTCCTGCATTTTTCTGTTAGATGTATAAGATGAAACTGATAAAAATTTATGCCACAAACATTAATATTTAAGGTGTCACAAATTATTTTACTGCATCAGACTAATGCAGCTATCTCTCCAGAAAATACAGTGGTACTAATCACTAAAACATACACAAAATCCCATTTGCAGGGTTTTGTAATGCAATGTGGCTTGCAAAACAAGACTCCTGCGACTATACATACCTCTCATATATAAGTGGTTCATTATTAGATTCAGAGTCTTGGCCTAAAATATGAAAAAGCAAAATTAATTAACAAAATAGACTTCATTTTGAGATCTGAGCTACATAATTTAGGGGAAAGTAAGCAAACAGTAACACAGGAGTAACATTAATGTGTGATATCAGCCCTTGAATTTTTTTTTATAAGACTAACAATAAAAGGCTATGTCAGTGATGTGCACTAGCACCAACATTTGGATTTAAAATTACAGCCTTCCGGGTTCAGAATTTTAAGAATGTGACATTTCCAAAACTCCAGAATATGAATATGATATAGTTATTATTTTTCCCCTTTTAAAAAAACACAAATAGGCAAAACATTTTAAAAGGATTTTCCTGTGTCCTCTGACACCTTCCCAGTGATTGTGTTGTGAGGAAATTAGATGCCATACTTCTCTAAACTGTCCCAGATTATCACATGATAATCTGCATGAGAAAGATCTGTTGCTTTACTCCAAGCTTCACCAAGGGCATACCACACTGAGCAATAAAATCAGATTCCATTCTAATTGCTTGTCTGCAAAGATTCTCATGGGAATCGAAAGGAGGGGCTCGAGAGAAGTTACATTTTGAGGGTGAAGTTACTGTACAAAGGACTTGAACCTAATTGGATAATATGTTGTGGCAACATGGATTTAAGATCTAGCAAGAGGCTAGTTAGGCTCAAGCTATCCATTCATCTGTCTGTCTGTCTGCTGCTGCTAGAATAGATGCCATAAGGATGCAGAAGCTCAACCTTGATTACTTAGATGGCAGTTAGCTAGCAAAAACTCACAGAAGCTATGATCGAGGCTCTCAATGCAGGGCTTGAAAAGAAACTGAAGGGAGAGCCTTGGTGCCAAGGTACATATACCAGTGGGGAGGGGTCTGCACTAATGTATCTTTTTGCTACCACAGAAGTTCTAGAATATTCCGATGAGGCTGCACACATGTGAAGATCACCCAAAGTGTGATTCACAGAGGCCACAAAGAATTAGTAATTAACTTTTATTATTTTATGGGAAATGCTTTAATGTGAATTGCTTAATTATCTGAATATGCTACTCACTGATTTTGCATTGTTTTAGAACTGTACAACCTCCTTTTTGAATTCTTTATGACTTTTTATAATTTTTTATATTTTTACCCAAGTGTGATCCTTTGGGGGAAAAGGGGTTTGAGTGTCTAAAAAGAAGGTGCCTTGGCCCCATTATTTTGGCTGGTTTACCTAATATGGTTGGTGTGCTAATTGCAAAGTGCACGATCAGAAACGATTTCTTTCTTGGGTAAGAAGACAGGTGAAAATCTAGGTTAGAAGTTTGTCCATACTACTAATTTATGCACCCTCCAGTTGTTACCCAGCCTGGTATTCAGAGGGTGGTGAGCATAGTAACTAGAGAGGCTCCTCCGCCTAGTGGAATGACCTCGGGGGGGTTCCTTATATGTGTCAACCAAAAAGAGTGCACACAAACAGCTAGCAGTGTCTTGGTACTAGGAAATATCTCTAATGGATATAATAATGGAACCCTGAACAATGGGAATGCCAGCAGGAAATGCCACCAGCATAGGGCAAGCAGAAGAAAGGTTGCACTGCGGAGTTTCTTAGCTATTTATTTATTTATTTATTTATTTATTTATTTATTTATTTATTTATTTATTTATTTATTTTATACCCTGTCTATCTAGTCGAACGACCACTTTAGGCAGCTAGAATCTGTGACTATGTTATTGTTCATTATTTCCTGGGCACTTTCAGACCATCAGTGAGAGAAAGCTTGTGCCTTTTTCTATATCCTTTCAGATAAAATGTCTCTCCATTATATATCAGCATGAGAAGGCATTATATAGTCTACTGCCACATCAGAAATCAAAACAAACTCCATCATAGTCTAGCTCAGCCAATGATAAGCTTAGATATTGAAGGTCATAAAACTTGCTCCTCTCAGACAGAGTGAAGTACATGTCCTGTGCAGCATACTGTGTAGCCTGCAAGGTCAAAGTAAAATTCCACACACACCCCTTGAGCTAGTGCTTGTTGGAATTATGTTATTTACTGATAGCACAATACATTGGGAACAGTACAATATATCAATATATATGCATGTTGTTTTCATTGATACTCATTGATTGAACTGATTGTTTTCAGAAGCTTAAAGCCCTTTTGCTGCAGAGAAAGCAGAGGCAGAAGGTAAGCTGTGTCTGGGAAGACATTTTATTTGGTGTGGTATTTTTTTTCTAGGCTTGTGGATTTTTAGGCTTGCAAGGGTGTTTTGGTTTGACCCTTGTACTCCCTGACTGCATGGTCTGAGGGGGTGCGGTTTTAGCTTTGAATAAGTGCTCCCAGGAGCGTACCCCATTCTCTGATTCTATCTATCTATCTATCTATCTATCTATCTGTCTGTCTGTCTGTCTGTCTGTCCGTCCGTCCGTCCGTCCTTCCTTCCTTCCTTCCTTCCTTCCTTCCTTCCTTCGTTCGTTCGTTCGTTCGTTCGTTCGTTCGTTCGTTCGTTCGTTCGTTCGTTCGTTTGTTTGTTTGTTTGGACTCTAACTTGGTAAATAGAAAAGACACATAGGAATGCATACACCTGGGGAACAGGAAAGTTTTAGGAGGAAGATCAGACTTCCTCTTTTTAATTCACTGACCAATCAGTTGAGATGGAGAGTGCAGGGTGTGAAGAACTTGTAACACCTGTGGCATGTTTGTTTCTTGCCCAATGAGGTGCCTGGGTAGAAATGCTCTAAGTACAGTATAAGTTTGTGGTCCTCTTGGAAGACAAGAGGTCTGGCAGCTGGAGGCCCCTCTGGTCCTCTTGGAAGACAAGAGGTCTGGCAGCTGGAGGCTTGTGTTTCTAATCTTTGCACTATCCAGATCCAGAGCAGCTGGTGCTGGCAGTGGATGTGGTTCTGCCGGCACTGCCGCGCCACTGCCGCCGTTGAGGAAGTTATCATTGCCCTTCACCACTGCCGCTGCGGGAAGGGGGGCAATGATAACTTCCTCAATGGTTCAAGGGGCTGTTTCTTTCAAAAAGTTAAGAACCACTGTCCTAGAGTACTTACTTGCAGTTTCTCTGGTGTCCATGCATAGTCTAGAGAGGGAACACAGACCCAGTCTTGCCAAAGGACTGAGTTTCTTGCATTTCTGTTTGCAAGGTAGACATCCTTCCCTTCCTCCTCCCCAAAATGTGGCTTCTCTATTTTACCTGGAAGCTGCTTCCGTTGGAGAAGTCAGACCTCAAGTGAGTTTCCTTTAAGCCAGTGGGCCCCAACCTTTTCCCAACCGTGGACCAGTTGGGGGGCCTGGCTCGCTTGTGGGAGTGTGGTGCGCCAGCAGGGGGGTGGAATGCACTTACATGCATGCATGCTGCATTGCTCATGGGGAGCCAGGATATCTGTGTCCGCGGCCCAGTCCTGCCTAGGCCACAGACCGCTGCCAGGTCACAGACCAGGGGTTGGAGACCCCTGCTTTAAGGCTTAAAGTTTAAGCCATCTATAGACAGCATAGCCTCTGTTTCCATCTAGTGGCATGATCTGGTAATACACTTTGGAAAGTTATATGCATGTTTTTTAAATTTTGTTTTATTATTTTATTTTATTTTATTTTTTTCAGGTAGTGAATAAGTGAAACCACCAGTTCTGAATCCATGAACACAGCAGTCCTATTGTACTGGGGAGCTGCAGCCAGTGGCCAGTAAGTAAAGGGAGCTGCAAGTCAAAACAGTTTGGGGACCATTGACCTACTGTCCCCTCTGTCATACCAACCAAGCTCCGGAACATTGGGATTACCTGGCTAAGGACAGCTATCTCTCTACTTTGAACCAGAGGCTTTTCTGACACCTCCTTGGCAGACACACACACACACACACACACACAAACCCAATGCTGCTGCCTGCTGCTCTTTCATAGTGTCAGTGCTGAGCAAGGTAGCTGGGTGACAGATTTTGTTTGGGGGAGCTCATAATAGCAGTTGTAAGCTGTCTTTTTTCTCTCCCTCTCCCACCCCTTTCAACAGAAGCTGCAGACTTCCCCTAGTACCTACTTCTACTTTACCCACCTTTCATACTGCCTGCAGACTCTATCCAAAGAAAACCAGGATTTGATTCTGCTACATTAGAACACAACCCCTTCCAATGAAAATCAGACACAACATCTATTAATTTATCTGTCTACATATAACAAAATTCTTTTCCCGAGCCAATACGCGCCAAAAGGGCATAAACCTAATACAGTATTTCTCTGTTGATTTTTAACATATTCTTCTATGAATCTACTAATCCTAAATCTTATTCTTCAGAAAAGGATACAGAAAAAACTGTTGCAGCGCAGGCTTGCACCACAGTATATCCACGCAGCTACACACACCTTTAAATTAGAAATAACCAATGTAAAAAAACAAAACAAAACCTCCTGCTATCTGTCCCTGCTTCTAGATTTCATTGGTGCAGACAGGCATCATTTACAGTTTTGCTCTCACCCCAGGCCCACTCCTTCAGGAAACCTATGTCAACCCCAAACAGCAGACACTGAGTTTTCTGCCTCAACTGCTCTTGGTGCCAGAGTTTTTTTAAGTTTCGTTTATCAAGAAATCACTCCAGGATGCTTGAGATATAAGTTTCACTTTCACTTCTTCCTATAGCAAGCAAAAACCTTGCCTTTTGTTTTCTAATCTGACTTTTGCATTCTAATCAATGGGGTTCCAAGTATTAGAAATTATATATCAACAGTCTGCACTAAAGGGTGGTAGCTAGGTTTCAAGTGTTGGTTCCTACAAGTTGCCTGAAAGTACCTGAGAAGTGTGTAATCCATTTGTGTGAAAATTAATGGAGGGCAAAGCCTCCATAGGAAGAACATCACACAGAGTCTCATTTCCGTTTTCAGCTCCATGTTGTGTTGTCTGTCATAGATTTGAGCTTGGAATACCATGGTAGCTCATATAAAGTAACTCTGAACAATATTTATACTATTACTCAAACAGTGTTAACTTCAAATAACTGTTAACCTTAACCTTACCCCAATATTTTCTATTTTTTTCACTTCTGGTTTCACTCATCTCCTGTGCAGTGTCCTCACATTTGTTTCTACTGTCATCTTTAGACAGTTTTTTCAAATCTTCATCAGGTTCTCTGAAAGATTCTGGTAGCACTTCTGGGATATAATTATCATCATCCTGGTAGTATTTTCTACAATAATCCTTTTCATAAGGAATTCTCAGACATATATCTACTTCAAATATTGGAAAGTATTCTTCTTCTCCTTTCAGAAGCCTTTTCACTTCTTCTAATATCTAAATTTGTGTAAAGACATATTTAAAATTAAAATGCCTTTCATTTTCCACATTTTAATGTAAACAGCAGATTTACTATATAGCGCTTATTCATTCTTGTTGCAGGTGTGCCTAGATTACTCCTAGAGGTTTGTTCCCTCAGTGGGGTTTGGAGGCAAAATAGTCAGACAGTGAGCGAGGCAGCAAAAGTAATTTATTCCAACCAGTGAAGGTAAGTCACTAGGATGGAAGTACAAAAACATGGAGCATTCACAAAGCTTTTATAATAATTTTCCTGTCAAGATTTCTACTGAAAATAGGGCAAGAATAGTTAATGTATGAACAAAACAAAACCAAATAAAATCTTGAAGCCATGAGCTACATAGAATCACTCAAAAGAACTTCTATAAAAATGAATAAAGGAGCTTTGGGTACTAGATATTGGTTGATACTACTATGCAATTAAATTATTTTCAATATTGCATTGGTTATAATCCAATGTGATACTGAAAATAATTCAATGTAATCCAGAACAGAATTCATATATAATAATCATCTTAGAATTGCAGAGCTGAAAGGGACTCTATGGATCATCATGTCTAGCCTCTGTCAGGGAGACACAGCGGAGAACTGAACTCCCAACTTTTGGCTTTGCAGCCAATTACTTAAACCTCTGAGTTGTCCAGCAGTTCATATAAGAGACAACACGTTTTTGTTTTTTTAATCTGTTGTTTAATTTTTGTTATTTTGTTTTTACCTATAATGAAAGTAATAGAGAATGCAGAACACTCTATGTGGGGCTGCCTCTGAAGATGGTTTGGAAACTTCACCTGGTACAAAATGCTGCAACCAGACTGTTGATTGGGGTTGGTCACCATCGCTGTGTGACCCTCTTCCTGTTACAACAGCTTTATTGGCCATGGGTTCATTTCTAAGCCTTATTCAAGGTGCTAATAATTACCTTTAAAGCCTTTTTCACCTTAGGTCCAGGCTATCTAAAATTTATTTATTTATTTATTTATTGAGCTTATATGCCGCCCATTTAGACGCAGTCTACTCTGGGCAGCTCACAAAACATGTAATAAAAACAATTAATAAAAAAAATTAAAAGACCATATCTTCCTGTACAGGCCATCAAATGTATTAAGATCCTCAGGGAAGTGCCTTCTTTCGGTTCTACACTCTCTCATGCACTCACCTTTAGATCCTTTCCAGTTCACTTTTTCTCAAGTAATTTTTACTTTTCACAACAGGCTCCCTTATTGTCTTTTATTTATTACACAATTATTAATCCAAATCATTGTGTTGTAAACAACTTTCCATAGGAAATTTCTTTACCTTGTCAATATCACTGACAGTAACAATTTCATGCTGTGCTTCAGGTTTCTTTGAAAGATATGATGATTCCTGGGATCCTTGGAAATAATTATCTTGAAGCATCCACAGACATCTGTTTTCAGTGTCTAATAAGCTATTTGCTCTCTCGATTGTATTTTTAAATAACCTGCATATATAAAAAAAGCTTACATTAAATTTTAAACTATACATGCAATATTTGAAAATCTCTAATATTTGAAATAAATCATATTTTGAATAATATTTTGAATAGGGCAGTCCACTTTTATTCAATACTTTGCATGGTGCTTTTAAAAGGAGCTAAGGGCATCAAACCTGGTTAATCTTATTGACAATCTCATAAGCAGGGAGCACCATCCATGAAGGGGGGCAAATCATTTTACCTTCCCATTTTCAACTCAAAGGACTATAAATTCTCTGCTGAAACAAGGAGGGTGCTTACTCATAATCATGATGCGTGAACATATATATATATTGTGACTGTGCAGAGTGTTATTCAGACCTTGCTAATGCTGAATAGAATTCTAGCAGGAACCCTACCCCACTCTGAACTGATAGCACTCCAGCCTGGTACAGGGGAGAAGCTAGCAGAAAAGGGAAGTAAAACAGATGCTGTAGAGCAACAACTATATTGAAATGGACATTTTTTCCAGATTTGGCAGCAAATCAGTTTTTCTGCAGAAATGGTAAAATCATAGCCAGAGAAAACAAGTGGAATACCTTTAATTTTATGAAAGCATTGACTCATCAAAGATCAGCTGCAGAGTTTGGCAGCATGAGTCCTATGTGCCCTACACAGCTCGCAGGGGTCCAAATGTGGCCTCTAAGTAGCCCCGGTTCCCTAGCACTCCCACAACCCTCAATTTTTTTTAAAAAAATGGAAATAAATAACAAGGTTAAAAAGTCCTTTTGTTCCCTCTAGGCAGTGTGGGGAAACAATTTTGTCATGTTTTGATGTCTTCCAGCAACTGGGGCCCTCAACATAACTCTTTTTTTTAATGGTTGCTAAAGAGCATGAATGAGCTTTCCAGTAACTCCCCTCTCTCGTCATTATAACAAAAAAATGGAGGAGGGTAGGATTGATAAGAAAGTCCAAGATCCAGGCTTGGCAAGCAGGACTTCTGGACACTGTCCACTCCTGATACAGTGAAAAGTATATAAATATGTTTTATACTGTCCATCTGGATACAAGGCCTTTAATTCTTTTTATAATTATTTTCTTTCAAATACAAGTAATTGTATTCTCGAAGGCTTTCACGGCCGGGATCCAGCTGTTTGGCCATGTTCTTAAGGTTTTTCTTCCTAACATTTCTCCAGTCTCTGTGGCCGGCATCTTCAGAGGACAGGAGTCAGAACTCTGTCTGTGCTCTGGTGCAGTTTGTGAGATAGCTGAGTATTTATAGCTGTGGGATCAACTTTTTGTCTTTTTCAGGAGATTGGGTGATTATGGTGATTAGCGTGTTTTTTGTTGTGGGTGTATTGTTGTGATAGTCTAACATAATGATTGCTGGTGTTGTCCAGTACTTCTCTTTTTGAAATAGACGTTGATGTCCAGCTTGCTTCAGAGCATGTTCAGCTATTGACAATTTTTCCATTTGTTTTAGTCTGCAGTGTCTCTCATGTTCTTTGATTCTAGTGTGGATGCTGTGTTTTCTGGTTCTAATAGTGAGGGGGTCCCACTGTAGGAGTATACCAGATATCTTGCAGTTGTGGCCAGGTATATATTGGCTTTGGACTGGACAGGGAAGCCATTGAAATCCACAAACACTAGAAGAGTTTCAACAAAAAAGAAGAAAGTTTAAAACTCAACAAAGCCTGGCTCCCATCACTGAAAAATACAGCCTGCAAAAGGTCAACGAACTCTCCCCAGCCACAAGGACTGGTGATCACTGCACACAAAGCTAACACCACCCATCAATCACAGTGACAGATAATCTCTTCCACTTATCACAACAATACACTCACAACAAAAACACTCTGATCACCATAATCACCTAATCTCCTGAAAAGGACAAAAAAGCTGATCACACAGCTATAAATACTCAACTATCCAAACAAACTGCAGCAGAGCACAGACAGAGTTCTGACTCCTGTCCTCTGAAGATGCTGGCCACAGAGACTGGTGCAACATTAGGAAGAAAAACCTTAAGAAAACAGCCAAACAGTCCGAAAAACCTACAACAACCAACAAGTAATTATATTTATTAATATGCTATTTAGTATGGAATTTTATTTAAAAATATTAAGGAACAAGCTGTCTGGACCAAGTGTTTCTTTATAACTAAGAAACAGTAACCTTATAAGATTTTCATTTGTCTTCTGTTTTGGAATTGTCATGGAACTGGAACCTCTAAATATCTCCAAAAGCAGATTTACAGCATTGTGAACCAATCTGCGAAGCAGTTCTTGAAAAATCCTATCAACAAGTCGAAGAAAACTAGAAAACCTCTCCATAATGTGTCGCCATTCAGCTATCTCAAAGTATTTTGACTTCTCTTTGGTATCATCTGACAAATGCTGAAAAAGCTTTTCTGCTCCTTTCATTTCTGCTACCTGGAATGTTTCATAAGAATAAATTTGAAAAAGGAATCAACATATGTTAGATATCCTTTCATCAAACAAAACATTTTGCTACTCAGATTCTCCATTACAAGGAATGCTTCCAGTTAAAATATTTCTAACACAGAATCATTTAAAATTCACTCTCATAATATTGAATGGATTACTTACTTAGTGAAGACCAATTCTCTGATGCCCTAAGAGGTCCTGCTGCTGGAGGAATGAATTGTTGTAAAAAGAAACAAGGAATAAACTTGAAACCAGGAAACATGAAGTGGGGAGTTAAAATACACTATTGAACAGGAGACCTTCAAGTGGGTATTGGTTGCCCACAAAATATTCCACAATTTAAATAGCCTAGTGACCTGAAACTCAGTGTTGAACAGTTTGTTGTCATATATTTCCTTGCTGAAAAGAGATTCTGGGTGAACATGCTAATCTGGCTGCATCATAGAGAAGAATGAAACAGGAGAAGTCAATCTCAGCTCTGCCTTGGTTCTCTGTGCAAGGAGACATGAGATCTGGGAGCCAAGGAGGCCTAATTGCAGGTGTCTGTCATGATTCTATCCTCTCACCATGTCTCCCTTTCTGCAGTTTATGTTTAAATATGTTGTCTGAACATGGGTCTTGTGGCAAAATACTGAGATGCTGTTGGTATACCTTCCACTCTATTGCTCCATAATTTCCCATCTTGAATTAACTGAGCTGATTTTGAGTGTGGAAAGCTCCCTCAGCTTGTTTTGCTCTGGGACTTAAACATCCATGCTGAGATCTCCTTGTTAGAAGTGGCTCAGGATCTCCATGACAACTGTGGATTTGACCTAACTGGTATTTGGCCCCAGACATATAGCAGGTTATACACTGGTCCTGATTTTCAGCACTGGATAGGAGGATATTGAGCTGATAAATATCCTTACTATAAATAAGGATAGATTAATATTTGATGCTATTTAGACTCACTGCAACTAAATGCATTTGCAGGAAAGGAAGGAGTTATATAGTGCACCTCAAGACTTGAATAGATCTGGATGATTTCCTAACAACTCTCAAGAGCTTTCTTTCATCTTGGTAGGTGACATTGTCAAACTCCTTTTTAACCTCCAGAATGGAAAAATACTTAAGGCAGTTAAGCACAATTTTTTCTTTTCAGACAAGTTAAAAATCAATTTGTTAGTCCAAATGGAGTTGCAGTCAAGAAATCAGAAGACTGAGGGCAGCAATGAAGGAATCAGAAAAGATCATCAAGTGTAAGGATGTGTCACTGGAAATCAAGACCAAGCTCATCCACACCCTTATATTTCTAATCACATATACAGTGGACACTCGACTTACAGACGGCTCCACTTACAGACTTTTCGAGTTACAGGTTTCTCTGGCTGCAAAATTTAGGTTCGACTTGCAGCCAGAGAATCAACCTACAGAATGGGAAAAAAACCACCAAAATGGAACAAAAACGGCCAGTTATGGATTAATCGGTTTTCAATGCATTGTAGGTCAATGGAGCCTCGACCTACAGACTTTTCGACCTGCAGCCACCATTCGGATTAATTCCATAAGTAGAGGGTCCACTGCATGTGTTGAAAGCTGGACAGTAAAGAAAGATGAGAGGGAAAAAACTGATTTGATTGAATTGTGGTGCTGGCAGAGAGCTTTGTGGGTAACCTGGACTACCAGAAAGACAAACAAATGAGTCCTAGATCAAATCAAGCCTGAACTAACTCTGGAGGCAAAAATGCTGAAACTGAGGATGTACTACTCTGCGTATATTATGAAAAGATAGAATTCTCTGGAAAAGACAGTAATGCTAGGAAAGGTTCAAAGCAGCAACAGAAGATAAAATATGAGATGGATGGAATCCCTAAAGGTGCCACAAGCTTGAGTTTTCAAAAGCTGAGCAAGGGTGTTCAGACAAGGACATTTGGAATTGCTCATCCATAGGATCACCATACGTCAAGGGAGATTTTATGACAAAGAAGAAGAAGAAGAAGAAGAAGAAGAAGAAGAAGAAGAAGAAGAAGAAGAACTGAACAACTCTGCATCTCAGCAGTACTTCCTGGACATGGAGGAATGGTCAGTATAACTATAGTGACAATATATATCCTGCTGTTCTTGCTATGGAAGCAAGGATCTGTGCTGGTGATGGTGGGCAATCTTTCAGTCTAGAATTGCTCTCATGTTTTCATGAAGAGATTAAACTTCTAGTCATGTTGTGTTTTGGGATTGTATAATGTTGTGTATTTCTAAAGCTGTTCTGACCAGGAAGGTCAAAGGTACAAAGCAAGATGAATGATTCAGCTTATGAATCTGTGCATTTTTATTTTTTGTTTAACTATCAAAACATCCTGAAATTAGTAGAGGTTGTTTTGAGAAAAGTCTTTTCTCAAATCTGTTCAACTTGTTTCGTTACTGAACCTTTGAAGTAACAGTAATAGATGTTTAATTTGAGACTGTAATTCATCCTGTACCTAAGTGAAACAAGATTACATCTTATGAGATGGAAAAGTGAAACCCCTACAAACATTCTGTTTTGTTACAATACCCATATTTCCAAAAATATGAATAAAAAAAGAAAGTAAAGCCAAAGAATCATTTGTCTATGGTATAGGTACTAGCGGAGTTACAAATAATACTGGAGAGTATGGAATTGCTCCCTATATTGTCAGACCATCAAGTGTTCTGAGGAGAAGTTTAGAAGAGAATTGGGAGATAACACCATGGTGTGGTATGTAACAATCACTTATCCAGTGCTATAAACTTCCAGGTTTCTACAAACCTCTGATTCAGGTAGGAAAGAAGAAGAGACAAGAATGCACAACCATGGAGCTCATCACATCTCCATGGCAGCTTTAGCAGCTGGAGATTTGCACATGTGGAAACACTGAACAGGATACTGAGCATAAATTTATAATAAAATGCAATAACTGCAATCAATATTAAAATATAAAAATAGTAAATAAAGGAACATAAGTGGTCACCTTTAAGAAACAACTCTGAATTACTTTGATAACTTTATCTTTAAAAGTTCGAATTTGAGAGAGTGCCTGTTGACTTTGTTGATACTGCTTCTCACAAAATTCATCCAGAGTATATGTGTAGGATGTGTCTATCTAAGAAACAAAAGGAAAATGAACATAAATGGGCAAAATTCTTCAGAAACTCTATCTTACTTACAAAAGTCTATTCAATGAAAACCTAGCAGACCAGTTGGCAGAAGGTTCTTCTTTTAACCCAGCAAAATGTTCTTCAGATTATAAAGATATATTTATCTTTACAGATTTGCAAATCACAAAGCAAATAACAATTAAATAGAACTTCAGAACTGAATCAGTTATTCCCTATATTGCATACATCCCATGGAATACATTGTAAAAAATAAAAATAATAAATGAGAATAGAAGTGTTTGTTGGTATTTTATTTTTGCTATTTATTCCTCCTGTGTTCTTATCTCCTATAGAAATTGAATACATTTACATATTACATTCAAATATGTTTAATCATATAGGCCAGTGTTCTATTGAGCCTCTGCAGAGCAGAAAGCCTTACCACCATAATAAAGCAGGATTGTGATTCTGTCAAGCATTGTCACTGCATGAACACTGATCTCTGAGAAAAACAACTGCCCACTACTTGTCTACTGGAAATGTGTGCACAAGCAACATAGTCCTATGTTACTATACTGGTGGAACTTTCTGCTCAGCAGGAGCTCAACAGGAAGTTGGTTATGTAAGCAAACACGGTGTTCGAAAACGTCCGCGTAAGCCTGGACAGAGAGTAATCAGGAGTTTGCACACGCTAAAATGGGCTGAGTGAGTCCAAGCTCAGCTAGCCATGCTACAACACTCCATCTTACCGGTCTGCCCACATAAGAACACCCTTGTACTCTCAGATATTACTGTGAAAAGATCAAGTGGGCTTTGTAGTCCTGAGACTTAACTTGCACCACAGACAGGACTCCTTAAGTATGCTACGCCGAGGCAGCACTCTCAGATGACCCTAAGACAAGTGTACTGTTCAGGAAACCAATTGAGTTTTATAATCATTATTTTATTTAAAAAAAATACGCATGTTACTAGGTATCAAAACCAAACTAAGTCAAGGCAAGTAAATAAGCATTGTGTTAGTTATTTACAACTCTGTAGTGAGGCAAAGAAAACATGAAAAATAGAAAAGTGTTCCAAAAACCTTACAAAAATACAAAAAGCCATTAAAAAGAATAACAACAGTTCCAGTCCAGTAATTCATTAGTAAAAACAAAATAATCCAAGTAGGTTATAACAAGGCTATAGTCCTCAGTGATTCTGTAGAACAAAAATCCTGTACTAAAAAGAAAAATTCAGTAAAAGTCCCATTGTCCTTAGGAAAGAAAAACCCAGTAAATGTACCATTGACCTTACAAAATTACAAGAGCATAGTCCATATGGAGTATTCCAAAAATAAGAGTTCATAGAGAAATAATCCATAGTCCTTAGGAAAAAGCCCATAGGTCCAAGGGTAATCCAGTATAGTACAAAGATCAGTCCATGCAAAGGTTGGTCCCGATAGACTTCAGGGTGTGTCACGAATGACTGAAGAGTTGGTCTTGAATGACCATGTCCATAGGCAAAAAGTTCCTTTTTCAAGAGTAACTGGCAAGGGCTTATCGCACCTTCCCACAATGTCATCCAAGCAGAGTTTGTTACTAGGCAAACAGTCCTGTTGTACCACATGACTCCTTTCCCATACACACCAGATGTTATTTGGGTTACTGTGGTTTAGCAAAGAGGCACAACAATTCCCATCTAATCACACCGAGTCCTTTTCTCAGGCTATCAGAATAACATTCTCTCTGCTCGCCTAGAAAACAACCTGTCCGCATAGCATAGATACTTTATACAAAGAAACAAGATGGAACCCCTCGTGCTCATTTCTTAATTACAAATCCCATGTTCCTTACAAGATTTTAATTCAAAAACCCATCTCATCACAGGTTATAGTAAGAATATGACTAGAGATGAGATATTTGTATTCATCTCCCAGGGGAGGCGAATACAGCAGTACCTCACTTTACAAAAGCCTTGGTTTATGTAATTTTCGGTTTATGAACCGAAATTCATAGAAAATAATGCCCCAGTTTACGTTCTTTTTCTCTTTTTTTCTGGTGTATGAAAGGGTTTCCCCCAGGAAGCATTGCACCTGAAGGTTTCTAGTGCTGCCCCTGTTTCTAGCTCAATCCATGTATTGGTTTATGAAATTTCCGCATGACATAACATCCCGGAGGACGCATTAATTTCATAAACTGAGGTACGCTTGTATGAATATCACTACCACAAGTGATCGGGCCCTTGGACCCTCCTTCCAGAACCATCCCGGTCCACTCGCCAGGCTTCACGTGGCGCACACAGTTGTCATTGGTCACACCAGGCCAATCACGGAAGTAGCCAGGTTGGTGTTTCCCCACCTTCCTGTAGTACTAGCCACTCCCTCCAGTGCTGACCATTGAGCAGGGAGACTCATCATTCCACCTCTTTGCCAGAGTCACCAGCAGCGTAAGGAGGTGGGGAAGTACTGGCTGAGCTATTTCTGTGATTGGCATGATGTCACCGACAATGGTCGCTCACACAACACAAAGTCCAATGAGTGGACCAAAATGTTTCTGGGGGTAGGGAACAGACCTCCATGGCACCAGTTGTGCTGCACTTGATCTTCATATCGCCATGGATACAAATACAAAGCTCCCGTGTCTAAATATGACTGAATACAAGGTTACTTATTACTTCTATCCTTCCTTTCCTTCAATGAACTTAAAGTGGTGTACATTACTTTACTCCTCTTCCCTTTTACTCTCACAACAACTGCAAGAAGTAGGTCAGGCTGAGAGTGACTGGCTCACCCAGTGAGTTTCATGGCTAAGCAGTGATGAAAACTTTGTCCCAGCCCAATATTTTTAACTGCCACACAAGTCTTCTCATGATCATGTTTGCAATTCATACTGTGAACTGAAATTGAACTACCTGTTCCAAGTGATTCTAATCAAATAGCAGACTTTCACTGACCAGAATTAAACCAGAATTTTAGTAACAACTGAACACAAACCAGAACCAACCTAATATTTTATTTGGTTCAATTCTCCCATTTATTACCCCAATAGTGATAATAATTTGGCCATCTCACAATAGATGGATACTGTACATTACATTCAGATAATATTGCATTTTACCAGTTTCCACTGTGGTTTCCAAAATATGTATTTTTATATGAAGTGTTTTTTCCCCTAACTTGTTTGTATTGCTATTGAAGATTGCTTCTTCTCACCTTTATGAAATTGATAGCTGTGTCTTCAGACGCTTTGTGAAACTCAGAGTTACTCACATCTATACACAATGCATAGATATAAAGTAAACATTTTTGTAGTATCTCATCAGCACTAAACAGCCGGTCATACATCACCATTCTAAAAACAAGACAGTATTTTATAAGTTATCTCTTTAAGGCGAGTAAGGAGATAGAAATTTACAACTATGTTCACTTTAGCAGGACGTGTACTGCATTTAGTTTTAACATACAAAGTCCTTAATGGTTTAGGACCTCACTACCTGTCAGAGCATCTCTCCTACAGAAAAGCTGCCCTCCACTTGATCTTCCTTGGCCTTGCTGCTGTGGGTGACCATGCTCAGTAGTGTCTCCCGCACATTGAATTGGCCTTCCACTTGAGATCTGGGAAGCCTCTTCCCTTCAGTTTTAAAAGACAGCCAAAAATCTTACTATTTAGGGAAGCCTTTAAAGATATTCTCTCCTTAGTGTATCCTTTGACCCTGTGCTACTTGAAGGCTGTTGCCACCAGTTTTTTTTTAAACTTGGTTTGCTTTATTAGTTTGGTGTTGGTTGGTTGGTTGGTTGGTTAATAAATAAATACCAGTAAGTAAATAAGTAAATAAATAAATAAATAACCCTAATAGTCATCATCTGAGTTTTAAACACTTCACAGCAAGCCTTAAATCCATGTAGGCCATTGTGAAGAAATAACTCATTTTTTAATTAATTTGCTCTGTAGCATATTCTATTATCACAAAACTGGTTGTTGCTTCTAAAGATTTTATACTTTAATCTCCAGGACTAACAATATGTAGTTTTTCGTTTCATGCGCACATCAAGTTCTTATCTCATTTACCATACAACATGACAGTTTGCTCCCTTATCTTCTTATTCCCATGCCTCACCAGAATTTTCCAAGGAGGTAGTCCTTATTATGCTGAATGCAATTTCTTGGACTATTTTGAAATTCTGATTTTCAGGATTTATTTTTCATAAGAAGAGAAGTTTCATATTACTGTTCTATTTTCAGCAGCATAGAAACACAACTTTTACCTCTACTTTTTTCTGACACTTAAGAGCAATAATCCATTTATAAATTCATCCAAATAAAGAAAACAGAATGAAAAACTGAAGAACATAAAAGCCTAGATATGTACCATGAATTGAAGTATACTTAATACTGTACTATATTCAAATTTGTGCTGAAGTCATTAACTACACTTGTCCAGTTTGGATGAAATGAGAAATTAAAATGGAAAAAATTCCTAGCTTGTTTTCTAGCTAATGGGAAAGGACTATAAGCATGTAAGTTCAGGGTCCACTATATTCATACTTTCAATGGGAAAAGGGTTCTCTCTTTGCATCAGACTGCAAAGGGAGTAAATCATGGACAGCAAGGTGCATTCTAAAATATATGCTTCCAATTTTTATAAGATTAAAAGAAAACAGTTATACATCAGATTATTTATGAGATAATACATTTTAAGTGTTTCAAACTAATAGCATTTTTCACACATACTTGCTCTTCTTTATTTTTGTCCTCTTTACATTGTTTTTCCAGATAATAAAATATTTCATCTTTCTAGAAGGGAAAAACCATTTTGAGAAAGATAGAAAAAAGGTAATTAAACAAAATACTACACCAAAAAGTACAATTTGCTTTTGTACAGCTGTCACCAGCATAAAATATTAATTAGATTACTGCTATTATCAGAAGACTAAGAGTATCATGCATGTATACATCCAACTTATCAATTTCATGAAAAGACTATGAAAAGTAATGAAGGATATATTATTTGCTCCATTAATTGGGGTATGGTGTTAACAGTGAAAAGGCTAGGAAATATGAAATATAGTTACATTAATAATTGCAATAAAAGCAGCCAGCCAAACCATTTCCAGCAGGGTTACACTGCAAACTTGCTGATGAGCAAAATGAGCCAACAGTCCTTTTAGGACCACAGATGACAATAATTTCTAATATTTTGTTTTTATTTTTCCTATATTTCATATATATCCATAATTTCTAATTGTGCAACAGTCTGATAGGAAGGAAGGAAAGAAGAAAGACTTTAAAAGGTCCTCATTCAGTTTCTGCAAGATTCCCATATGCTGAAAGACATATCTTTAAGTTTCCTATCATTTCTGTTTTGCTATCTTTGATATCAATCCTTCAGTCACCTGATTGGTGTTCCATCCTCTCTATTAATTTCTGTTTGATGAACCAGCATAAGCAAACCTAGAGCCAGGATCAGAGTTGTAAAGTTTCTCTCACACAGAAACATAAATATCACCAAGCACCACATTTAGCACTTCTCTCACAGGTACCATATGTATTGGTTATAGAGAATAAGCTGAAAACTTTCCATCTTTTCACCTAAAATTATGTGCACATATATGCACATAACTAAAAATGTGTGTATTTGTTATACGTAAGTGCATCTCAGAGTCATTTTGTCCAAAAGCTGTGTAAAAATGTTTTAAACAAACAGGAGTAGCAGAGATGTGAAACCACTTGAGATAAAATTATGTTCAGTACTCTGAGAAGTTGTAGTCATGTCCACTCTGAAGGTCCTTTTTTCTCTTCAACACTTGTATACAAACTGGTTAAAAATTATATTCTGAATGGGATGTCTGTTGCATTTCTGTTTCTACAAGATTGTACAATGCCTAACATAATCTGAAGAATTCTGTGGCGTCCGCCCAGGTCATGAATATTGATATGCTATCTGCATAGACCAATGGGAGTGCTGGAGGGGCAGAGTATGGAGATATAAGCGACTCAGGAGGAGGAGGGGGAGATTAAGATAGGGAGTTTGAGATTGAGAGATGGATAGCTGAGAGAGTTTTTGGAGTTTGGGTGGAAGAGTGGTGTTTGAGAGTGGATAAAGGGGGATGTTTGTTTAAGAGTTAACAATGTTGCTGTAACAATAAACAAATTCTATTTGGTTGTTTAAAAATGGCATATGGCCTGGACGTCAATTATTAATAATAGGTAATGTTGATGTAATCAACTGGTGGCAGCTGAGGGGCATGTAGCATGAGTTCTTAATTTAAAAACCAGGGGACACATGGCAAATGCTAATGGATTTCCATGCCTGTATTGGGTAAGGATATTTTGCTAAGTTAGTAAAAGCCCTTTGGCACATAAGAAGGCATATCTCAGTCTAACCCATCATGATTTAAAACATAATAGAATGCCTCACCTGAAGTTAAAACAAAGAGCAATACTACGTAATGCATAATAAAGTTGCCTTTCATTCAACCACTCCATTACCGGTGTTATTTCCATTTCTTCTTTTTTACACTCTAAGGTAAACTAGAAAAAAATAAACAACTAGTTTCAGTTCTGACTAACTGTCTTTGAATGTGTTTCCCCGAAAATAAGACAGGGTCTTGTATTAATTTTTCCTCCAAAAATGCATTAGGGATTATTTCAGGGGATGTTTTATTTTTTTGATGTACAGCAATCTACATTTATTCAAATACAGTCATGTCATCTTCTTCTGGTTGCTGCACAAGATTGGAGGGCGGAGTTTCACTCAACTGGGGCTTATTTTGGGGGTAGGGCTTATATTACGAGCATCCTGAAAAATCATACTAGGGCTTATTTTCAGGTTAGGTCTTATTTTCGGGAAATAGGGCATATAGAAATTACTTTTCATCATTATAAAGCACTCCAAAGGGTGCCAGCAAACTATAAAGGAAGTTTGTGTAACATACATAACCATCACTTACCAGTCTTATATCTGCTTAAAAAGAAGAAATAGCAATGCTACACAAAAGAAACCTAGAAGACTGTTTGAAAACTGAATGGTCAGTGTCATTAAGAATTTTTGAAAAAAATAAACTCACATTTACGCCATCTTTAAACACATCTAATCAACAGCAGTCCTTGAAACCTCAGATAGGTCAGTGAAATCATGCTAAGGATTTCACCAAAAGTCAAGGAGCAACTTCTCAAAACAAACAAACAAACCCCACAATATGTAGCATTTTAATTTTAGCTGACTCAAGTCATGTGATTTTTGAGTCATTTCCTGCGTTCCTACTGAGTAATTGAAATGTTACCTTTTAAAACTGGCTATAATATTCACATTGCTTAATGTAAATAGCCCTCTGGTGGTTATTTATTTTAACTTGCTTCTAAATAAAATAATGTAGCTCAGAGGAAAATAAATGCACAGTTTGGAATTCATTGTGTGAACGTGAAACTCAGGATGGTTTTTAACAATGGTCGAATCCCAGGTTTGTGGGGGTTTTTTGTTTTTGTTTTTGTGTGTTTTTTGCGGTGTGACCAGAGCCTGTCCGAAGATTGAAATCTGACCCTGGTGGACAGTAGATCCACCAAATCAGTGGGGATCTGGTGAGTCAACACCTCCATAAGTTCCATTGATTCATTAGGCCTATTCTAGTTGTGGCTTACTAATATATTTCAGCCTTACTGTAGAATCTGTACCTCTGGCATCCCCCTTCATAAGCTTCACAAAGATCTCAAGTTTTTAAATTTTTCAAATGCTTCTAGATAATCTATCACTGCTTTCCATAGAATGAGTTTAAAACAGATTTCTGTATAATTTATTAAAGAGTTTACTATAATTAATTTTTAAAAGATGAAACAAAAATAATAAAAACATTTACTGTGCAGTCTATATAGAATATTTTCCCTATTCTTTACACTCATTTCATGACAAAATGTGTTATGTGCTATCAAATTGCTTCCTGATGGTGACTCTAAAAGAGTTTTCAAGGTATAGGAAACATTTAGAGAGTTCTTTTACTGATAGCTTAGTAGTGGTTTAGGTGTCTGGCTGCAGAGGTTGTGAGTTAAATTCCCCACTGTGTCTCAACTGAGTAGAGCCAGCCTGGGTAGCTTTGGGAAAGCTGTACAGTCCCAGGGCACCCACAGAAGAAAGGAATGGTAAACCACTTCTATGTGTCCTCTATGTGGAAAATCCTGAAAGGACTTGCCATAAGTCAGAATTGACTTGATGACATATGATTATTATTATTTACCATTACCTGCCTCCATGTGTTTCCATGGCTGCATTAGGAACAAAACCCAGGTATCCTGAGACCTAGTCCATCCCTACACCCACTGCAGTTTACCAACACTCTATATCAACAGCAAATCACTTTATCTCTTGCACATGCTACAATAATGGGGACTCAACTGCTACTATTTGTTTTCTTTGCATTAAGTCTTTTTCAGCATTAAATACCAGCTATCCTTTACTACTTTGCATTAGATACTGAAAGATATAGTCTTTTGATACAACAGTCATTACTCCAGAATTTAATTTCTCTGTGAAAAATGACTGTCCTTTGGAAAGTACAAAGCTGCTGCCAATTCTGTTGTAGGTTTCTTGCACCTCTTACAGCTGGGAACCACATGACAGAATGCCAATAGACAGCAGGCCAGGTAATAATCAAAGCGAAGATCAACACAAAGTGCCAAAGATGCACTCAGAACATTTTGAGAAATGTGCAGGAGTCACTGAATATGTTGAAGCAGACTGACATTTAATGATGACCCAAGAGTTGAAGTGGCCTGTTAAGACAGAGTGAGGCAGCCACCTCAACTGGCGGATGCTGGTCATTTCCCTGTTTCAGTGGAAGAGTTGTGTGTACCTTTCCTGGACTCCTAAACTAGTCTGCCACCCTCAGTTTTGGTGGTAGACCCCTAACCTATTGTCAGTATTGAAGTATGGTTTAACTATCAATCTGGATGGCTTCTATGCATATACAGTAGTGAAGGGATACCCATTAGGGATTTATCATTTGTTTTGGGAGGTTTTTGGATTCCAACTCCCAGAATTTTCCAAGCCAGTATTCTGAGAGCTCTAGTCCACAAACAATTGTAAAAATGAAACAATTACAAAAAAGATTAAAACTTCCCTTTAAAACATGTTAAGAGATTTTTAAAAATCTAAAAATCTACAAATTCAATAAATATAGCATTCATGAGCTCCACATTTATTGCTTGAAAGTCTGCCAAAATAAAACAGCCTTAGCAAAAGCAGCAAAACTTCTTGGACAACTTTCAAAGAAACGAACCACAAAGGACATCATTCTGGTCTGGAACTGCATTCTGTGGTGCTTTTGAATGATGACAAATTGCACCTGTATGATTTGATAGGGACATCCTAGGATCTGAGATGAAATTGTCTCAGGTGGCTAATGCATGCATTCATTATCTGAATTGCTGATTCAATGTTTGGTTATCATCTTCTCTTGAATAATTCTACAAAAAGTATTAGTAGTTTGCTGAAACTATAGTGAGAACAAAGTAGAGATGTTAATCAAGGGATCAGTAATTTGCAGTTACAAGTTGGGAAAAAGCTTATATTACCTTGGAGACATTTGTAGCTGTAATAGTCCAATATTCTTTACTTTGCCTAGCCAAGTCTGCAGAAACTACCTGAAGATCGTATGGATCATAGGCTGCTTTAGGATTATCCCTACTTCTTATGAGACAATATACATATTCTCCATCATCTTCCTGTAATGCTTCCTATTAACAAAAAAACAACAACAAACAAATGGATTACATGTTGGAGAAAATACATGAAGAGGTACTAGAGCAACACTAACTTGTGGATTTCAGCTTTTTGAGACTTGGAATGATTGGAGGGACAAGAGAGGTGTGCAAGAAGTAAGTAATATTAACAATCTAAGAATAGCACTCTAGGGTTGAAGGAAGGTCAGGAAAAGTCAGAGCAGGTAAAGGGCAGTCTAGAAAACTAAGGTCCTCTGTCTCTACTCTCCCCCATGCAAAGACATGCATCCTCTCAAGTTTAAGTTGAGTTACACTTCCAACATTATATGCAAAGATGAATACAACTCTTAAACAATTCTCCCATTTTTGATTAAAAAACAGGTTAGTATCTGAGGACACCAACACCAGCAGCATAACTAGTACATGGGTAGAACATTCAGAGCACCTAGAGAAGGACTGAACTAATCCTGCACATGTACAGACTGCCAAACAGACTAACAACATGAGCACACTGTTGAAAGTGCCTCTAAATTACTGATGCTTGAGGAGTTCCAATTTTTGACTGCATATTCCTAACAGGGATTGCTAATCTGTCAGCACTACTAGTTCTAGCAGCTGATGAGGCAAATGCAACTAGAGGGGCAGGGAAGATATCAGTGTCACGTGTGTCTTAAATAGTGCTCAGCTGAGTTCCTTCAGTCTCATCCCCCATGTCAGATATGTGTGTACTTGCAAAGGGCAGCTCCCACTGGTGGTAAACCATTCCTCAAATATGGTGGAACTGCATGGCCTGGATATGGAAGGCAATGTCTGGTGCTCTTTATAAATCTCTTTCCCAACCACAAAAGCAGCAGTGCTAGTGTCAGCCAGACTGACAGTGTCAGTCTAAGTAATTATGTCATCTTTGTCCTGCTCTGGCACACTGGCCCTTTGGGAGAAAACTGCCTTCTTCAGCATGTTTTTTGGGCCTTTCCCCTGGATGGATTGCACAAATACATCACTGGAACATGTCTGATTCACGTTGAACCAGAGGATTCCTTACCACTGTCTTGGCAGACACACACACACGCACCTACTGCTCTTTCATAGTGTCAGTGCTGAACAAGACAGCTGCATGACAGATTTTGATGAAGGGGTGCATAATAGCAGCTGTAGGCTGTCTTATTCTTCTCCTTCTCCCACTGCTCTCAGTACAGTGGTGCCTCGCTTAACGACATTAATTCATTCAAGCAAAATCGCTGTAGCGCGAAAACGTCGTAAAGCGAAAATAAAAAACCCATTGAAACGCATTAAACCCCAGTTAATGCATTCCAATGGGCTAAAAACTCACCGTCCAGCGAAGATCCTCCATACAGCGGCCATTTTCGGTGCCTGTATAGCGAGGAATACATCCCTAAGCACAGCGGAGAGCCATTTTGAGCACCTGGTGGCCATTTTGAAAACCCGACAATCAGCTGTTTTGATCATCGTAATGCAAAGAATCAGTTCCCTAAGCAGGGAACCGATCTTCGCAAAGTGAAAAAAACCCATTTAAAACATTGTTTTGCGATCACAAAAACATTGTCGTGAAGTGGATTCGTTGTAATGCGGGGTAATCATTAAGTGGGACATGACTGTAGAACCTTCTGAAATGGGAGCAGGCTTCACCAAGCACTTACTTCTTCTACCACACCTGTCATTTATACTGCCTGCAGATTCTGTTCAAAGAAGAACAGGATCTGATTCTGATAACACAACCCTGTCAGGTTTTGTTCTCACCCCACTCCCTTGGGAAACCCATGGCAACCCCAATCAGGAGATACTGAGGTCTCTGCCCCACTACCTTTGGTACCAGACATGAGTTATCTGGTTGATGGGCAACAATGGCTGATATATGGACTTTTAAAGTGGAATGAGAGAGTCCAGATTCGAAGAGATCGAGTAAGAAGGTAAGTAGTGTCTTCAAGGAAACACGTATTGCAGCTAAGTTATTTTTTCCATATAATTAAGGAAGGCTTTCCACTTATTTGCATGTGGAAGCTGAGTTCATGGTATTCGTGCTCGATCCAAGGTGTGCTTCAAGGCAGGAGTATCCTCCAAGCTGTCAAGTTCAACAATGGAAGGTTTGGATGGTAAACCATCCCATTGTTCTGAGTTAGAAGGTCGGGAACTGGAGAGAGTCTAAACGAGTCCATTGACATCAACCTGAGGTGAGTGAACCATGGTTGCCTCGGCCACCAGGGAGCGAAGAGGATCGCATTCAATTGAAAGTGTCGGAGGTGGATAATTGTCCATCGTATGAGTGGTATTGGTGTGAATCAATAAAGTAATTCCCTGTTCAAATCTGTCATGAACGTGTCCCCAATGGAGTTCTCATCTGCTCTGGCTTGAGAGTATTGACACCGCACTTGACATTCGTACCTACCATCGATATACGAGACAACTTTCTCCACGTCAAAATGATGGTACCGTGGAAAATTGGTATACTGGCAGTACTCTCCGTATGGAGGCATACATCAAGGAGGAGAACAGTGCTTCCATTTCTCCCAATGTTGGACCTCAATCACCTGCCCTGATGCAGGGCCAGAATGGGCCGAGGCCTGGCTGCATGGCACACCAGCCATCGAGAGGCCAGTGTGCCTCTGTTCCTCCCAATACCCTCAGGGAAAGTGTTGAGGAGAGTCCAATCCCAAAAGTTGGACCTCAATCACCTCCCCTGATGCAGGGCTAGAATGGGCTGAGACCTGGCTGGATCAGCCATTGAGAGGGCAGTGTGGGGAGATAGGCTACCAGTTGACACCAGAGTGTGAACCTTTTTTGTTCATGGCCATCTCCCAAAGGTGAGATCGGAGCCTTTGGAGCCTTTGCTTAAATGCTCGCTTGGTCAGTTTTTTACATGCCGCACAGAAATGGGTTGGGTGTTACTCGCCCAAGCAGAATAAAAACATTTGTGGCCATCAGTTAATAGGATCTTATTTGAACAGCCGATGTACAGTGGTGCCTCGCATCACGATCTTAATTCATTCCAGCGAAATCGCTGTAGAACAAAAACGTTGTGATGCGATTTTAAAAAGCCCATAGAAACGCATTAAAACCAGATTAATGCGTTCCTACGGGCTTCAAACTCACCGCCCAGCAAAGATCCTCAATAGTGCAGCCATTTTCGCTGCCTGTGCAGCGAGGAATCCATGCGAAAACACAGCGGGTGGCCATTTTGAAACCGCTGATCAGCTGTTAAAAAATCATCACTTTGCGATGATCGGTTCCCGAAGCAGGGAACTGATCATCGCAAAGTGAAATTCCCCCATAGGGGGGAAGTTCGTCGTGATGAGATTTCATCGTCAAAACGGAGCACCCGTCTTGCAGGGCACCACTGTACCTTTTAAAAGGAGCTGTTGAGGCCACAAAGAGCAGGAAACCAGAGGGAGAGACAGTTGAGGAGATGGGGGAGGGGTGGGAAGCCAAAAGCAGAAAAGGCAAAGAAACAGAACTGACAGGGGAACATTTATTAGCTGATTTGAAAATAAGAAGCTATCAATTTAGGTGTTGATTGGAAGAGGAAATACTAATAGAGTTGCTAAAAATCGCTCAGAAACACGCTCTACTAGAGCTCCAATCAGCATGTCAGAAAAAAGGAACTGAGGGGAAACTTAGGTGGGCGGAGCATGTGCTCCACAGGGGAATGTCCCACTAACTTTGTACTTTTAAGCTCTAAAATCTTCTGAGACATTCAGCGCCGGTACAGAACAACCCATTTGTGTGCATTCACAGAGGCCATGAAGAAGAAATTTAAAACTCTCAAATTTGGGTTTGGATGTATTCAGAACTACCCGAATATGGTATTATGTAGTGAATTCCAAATATTTCCCAAATCTGAATGCATATCCAATTCAGTGGTCACATGCTTTTGAGTTCTAAATAAGTTACATTGCTTCAATAACTTTTGGATTTTCGTGCACAGAAAAAAGGTTGTAGAATTAGAAAAGCTCATGTTTTTCTGTTTACTTCACCATGAATGAAAACAAGTTTGGAAGTGTCTGGAACTTGAGTCATGGCAACTGGACTTCTTTCTTATTAAGTTGAAATGTTTTACTACTCATCCAAGTGGCTTCTTCAGTTTGAGGAGAGTTGGTAGGAGATCCCTGATATATCCTCCATGTTGATTTCACTTCCCCCTGGTCTGAATAGGCTTGTTAGAAGGACAAAGGACTGGGAGTGAGTGAAAATCCCACTTCTGCAGTCCTTCTCCACTTTCCTTCATGGGTCATTAATAGAGATGGGGGTGTTCGTATTTGTATATGAATATCCCCGCACAGGTGGAAATAACAAGGATTACTGTCCACTCATGATTTTGCCGCTGCCACCGGCTCTGCAGAGGCTTCCTATCACACTGTTCTCCACAATGGATTAGCCACTCTGTCATCTAGCAGACAGGCTTGTCATCTCGCCTCCTTCCAGGAGTTGGTAATCTACTGCAGACAGCATGATAGAAAGCCTTTGTGGAGCCAGCAGCAGCGGCAAAATCATGAGTGGACCCTCGTTATTTCCACCTGTGCAAGGATATTCATATTTGTATACAAATACGAATACCCTCATCTCTAGTCATTAACTGTCGTTAACAGTGGTCCTTCTGGTGTTTGTGGTCCTAATCTTTCTGGGGAGGGATGAAAGGGCAGCATGATAAATAGGAGACATAATGTCTCCATCTTCCTTCTTGGCTTCTGTGGAGGTGAAGTGTTCCTTCATTTGAAGGACAAAGGACACTCATTTAATTACCAAGATGTACTCATTTTGGACCGAGAAGATAGGTGGTTTGAGAGAGGTGTCAGGGAGGCCATACATGTGCATATAGAAAATCCCTCACTCAACAGGGGTAGAGGCAAATGAGAGACACCTGTGGTCATGGTAGATAATGTTGTTAGCATGCAGTTAGAAGCAGGAATTCCTTAAGTGTTGAAAGATGGCTGCCTGTTACAGCATGAGCTTTTCTTATTTTTCAAAGCTCTTGTTACCTTTTTCATGTCATTGGTTGATCACCAGAAGATAAGCATGAGATTCAACTGTGAGTCTGATTCTCTGAAATTTGTCATTAACATCAATGTCATGGACTAAATCCTAAACAAGTTAATGAAACAAACCAACTTGAATTATAAGTAACGTACCGGTAATGTGATCTTATAAAAATTAGCGAAATCTCTTTGTTCAGCTTTAAATCCACGTAGTGGTAATGATGTCTGCCATCCAAGTTTTTCTCTCAGTCTCAAAATATGCAACATTACATCGTCATATATAGGTTCTAGAGGAGAACAGAAGCCAGTGTTATTATATCTTGGCAATAGTTAAAAAATGTTCTCAAATGACATCCTAATGAAATATACTAGCCACTTGCAGGACTCAGATGCTATGTCCCTTCCTCTCCTCCAGTCACTCAACCAAGAAGGAGTTCTGTAACTTCCATTTCGGCTTAATTTACAAAGTGATACATCATCTAAAGAGACAAACCATGGTTGATTTAAAGCAAGCCACTTTCAAATCATGCTTTCTGAAGGTGGCTTGTTTAAATTAGCCATAGCCACTTCTAATATTTCCCAGTTAATGCCACAATTAACAGAAGCAAAATTGAAATTGGAGTCGGAGACCTAGGCCCCTTCCAACTCCATTATTCTAAGATTCTAGGAAAAATTCAAAAGTCACCCTTTTGTTCAGGATGAAGGGGTGGGGAGCACATGAGTATGGGAGATAACTAGGCTTCTTCATATCCAACTCTATAAAGCTATGACAGTACAAGACAATACAGTGATCTTGTATGATTTATAGGAAATAATTTTATCCTCAAAGTATAAAACAATATCTAAACATGATATCTACACATGTACACATCATCACAAAATATTAACAAAGTATTCACTATTCTCATTTGAATTTTAAAAGAAACATCTCAAGTTCAGCAGTACCATGTTGTGAATAATTGATCATTATTTTTAGTTAGCAGAGTATGAGGTACAAACATCAAGTTCACAGAGAAAGTGTAAGATTTTTTAAGTGTAATTTCAGTGAATTACATAATGTATAAAGAAATTATGAATTTAGAAATATTACAGTTTTCAAAAAATCTATATATTTGCCAGAAGTAAAACACATCAGAGAATAACCCAAATAGGAAGCAGTGTTATTTTCATCAGCAGTGATAAAAATATTTGACGCTTGATAAACACACCTGTTTTATCATAAGAGGGAGCAGCTTTCTGTTGCCTGAAAAATCTGTGAAATTTAATGCATGCCCTTTTGTGGCAACTTATTTGTGTAGAAACAGTTTGAACTTCAGACTTTTCACTTTTATCTGTAAGAGATAATTAATATATACAACCATTGTTCTAAGTTTGATCCCAGAATATACTTATTCATATTATTACTACATTTCCATTTAATATTATCTATATTCTTACTTTAGTCTCTATGTTTTCTACAACACACATTTTTATATAACTTCCATTTATACTCAAAAACATATAACAGAATTAAGGGCCAGTGAAATGGCAATTTATTTTCTCCATATGATTATCCACAAGGAGTAGCAGATACAAAAGTCAAGCTACACTTGCTGAAATGTCCTCTTTCACACTCCCTCAAATAAGCAAGAGTACCATCCTGTTCTATATCTGGCTACCTTCCTCAAACTGCCTCAGAGCCTTTTCTCCAGTGTCCTAGTCCATTACCTGGACAAGTGCTCTCCTACCTGAGTTCCCAAATATTACGGAGACTCAAGTAAGAGAGTTCCCATTAGTTTCATCCAGCATGATCAGTGGTCTGGGACAACAAGGAACAGAAAACTGAAAACGATTGATCTAGAACTATAGCCAAGGAATCTCCCTTAATTTTATTTTTGTCCAACAATTTCATAATGCACATAAGCAGTCAGGGAGGGGGGAGAGAAGGAAGGAGAGGGAATGCAAGAAGTGTCTTAATTTTTCATTATTTCTGAATTTTTCCACCATTTTAACTATGATGAACTTGTTGAAAACTTTTCCAGCCTGAAACTATCTATTATACTTTCCTTCATTTTCAGAAAGGGTTTCTGTTGATGCATCAGTTGTGTAATTAGATTCTTCATAAAAAGGAATTATAGAAAGTTTGTCTCTGGTCATATTTTTCATCTCAGAGTATTCCAAGGTCCTACATCGACCCCACTCAGTCATTTTGGTAGGCTGATCAATAACTGATTTCACCTTTTTCTTATGTATTTTTGAGAAACTAGAAGTGAAAAAGAAACAAATAATATGATAATTACTATATGTTTCTTCTATAGTTCTAAATTTTACATGACTGCTCCAATTGCCTCAAGCAGGTACAATGCTGGTGTGGGAAAAGGAAATATATAAACACATTACAGTATTTTAATTGAGGAGCTTTCTACATAGTATGAACTTTTACCTAGTGAAGGAGGGGACATTATGGGGAAATATAAATTCAATGTGAGTGGGCAAAGAAGTGCTCTCAGGAATAAGTAGTCAGAAGAAAGGTTGCTCAATCCATCTTTGACAAAAGATTTTTCCTCTCCCATCAAATGGCAAAAATCTGTTGCATAATAACATGGCTAGAACTCGACATTACACCTGACTTAGCTGTGATAATGCCAAGGCAGAAGTTCTATCCATGAAGCATTTATTTATTTATTTATTTGTTTGTTTGTTTGTTTGTTTGTTTGTTTGTTTGTTTGTTTGTTTGTTTGTTTGTTTGTTTGTTTTATATCCCGCCTATCTGGTCGGGTGAGGA